GAGGCATCGGAAGTCACGTATGCCCGGCTCCAAACGCATGTGCAGGGGGGCGTGGAGGTGGGAGATGACGCCCGTTTAGGGACAGAGATGACGATGTGGGGTGGGAAGGGGGCAGGAGACCGAGGGACAGTGTGTGCCTCCCGAGCAGACTGTGGAGGTGAGAAGTGGCATCTCAGAGCAGAAGAGGGGTCTTCGTTCCAACGTGAATTCCTCAGAGCAGCTGTTACTCAAATGACCCAAATGCCTCGAGTCCCTGCAGGCCACAGGGATGATGAAGTGTGCTGGGGAAGGAGGGCCGGGGGGCAAGGGTGGAACCGGGGTGAACTGAAGATTTCCAGCAATTACAATTGGGAAGAGGGGGCCCGCCTTGCCAAGGCTTCTAATGGTTCAAGAAACACTGGATTGTAAAAACCATAATGTTTCTACATGTGTGCAACACTATGCTGCCAACTAAAATGCATTTATGGACCGGATGGGGCTGTAGATATTCCATTTCTAGCTTTTCTACTTTAGTCACTAAAAGGCTGTTTTCCTGAGATGAATGGGCATGCCAACTGAAGCAGTGGACGGCATTGTTTCTTCAAAAATAGCTTCCACATTTATTTGTGTACATTTACACAAACCTTCAGTTAACTGGTGCAGTCTTTCTTTCTTTTTTTTTTTTTTTTTATACGGAGTCTTGCCCTGTTGCCCAGGCTGGAGTGCAGTGGTGCGATCTCAGCTCACTGCAAGCTCCCCCTCCTGGGTTCAAGCGATTCTCCTGCCTCAGCCTCCTGAGTAGCTGGGACTACAGGCGCCCGCCAAGACACTTGTGTTCTTAGTAGAGACGGGGTTTTGCCATGTTGGTCAGGCTGGTCTCGAACTCCTAACCTCAGGTGATCCACCCACCTCAGCCTCCCAAAGTGCTGGGATTACAGGTGTGAGCCACTATGCCTGGCCAGCGTTTTTCACTTTTGGAGATATCCTCCTATGATATTAGTGAACTGTGTATAAAGTGCTTTCTGCTGGCAAACTGAACCCCAGGAACAGACAGGGAGCGGGAACCCTCTGTGGGAGACAGGCTGCTGGAGGTGAGGCCGGGTCTGTGTGGCGGGAAGGGCTAACTCAACACCGGCTGCCTTTGTCCCAGGCTGTCGGGAAAGTGGCCTTTCACCTCCTTGGCAGCATGGGCACTTAACAAATAAACGAGGGTAGGGTAATAGCACTAGTTCAAGTCTCCGAATGTGGTGTCCTGGGTAGGGGTGGGGCGGGGGGGTTAGTGGCAGAACCAGAGCAAAGTTCCCCCTGAGCCCAGGATGCAATTTCGGGCCCCACTGATGTTTGCTGGCTGTGACTTGCCAGGCCCTGGCTCTGCTTCCCATTCTTCGCTGCCTTCTCTTGTTACCTTTGAGTTGGTGGAAGCAGAGAAAACATTAAATCTCCTCTTGTTTCCAGATTGCAGGCCAGCATCTCTGTAGGGAAGTTTCTGTGTGTTTGACAGTCTTTTGCACTCCTCAGTCCTAAATGTCTGGAAGCGCAATGCAGACCTGCTGGGATTTGATTCTAGCCCTTCTGTCTGCTGTGCCTGACGGGGCTGAGCCTCCCACCAGGGAGATGCTAAGTGCTTCCTCTTTGCTTAGGCTGCAAAGCCCGGCTGATGGTTTCTGCTGAAACCACTGCCACAGCTGTACCTGGGTTTCTAGTGGCTTTAACTTTCTGGGAGCTTTTATGCTTCGTCTCCATACACAGACTTCCCTCCTTTGCACCGTGGACAGTCTGGCTGGGCCCTGCACGCTGCACCCAGCATCTGTTGTGAGATGGCTTTCTTTTCTATCCAGTTTTTTGAAAGACATTTATTTATTTTTCTACCAATGATAAAAGAATATTCCGGTATATTCGTGGCCAAAAATTTTGAAAATATTAAAAAAGGCATAAAAGTAAGAAAGAAGAATCACTTCCAATGACTCCTTTCAGTGACCACTGTGAATTCTCCCCTCCCTTCCTCCCTGTCTGTCTGGTTTCCACGTACTGCATGTGGGTAGGAACCAGTTTCTGCTGTGGGAATAAATGGCTAGGCAGAGGGGTGTTGGTGGCCTTTTCTCTTTTTCAACCCTTGTGTCAATGTCAAGCCCGTTCTAAACGGGTAGAGCCTCTGTCACCCTCTTGCCAAAAACACACAGGAACCCATAAAAATCCTCAATCTGGAGCAATAGGACTTCTGCAGCACTTTCCCCCCAAATTCAGATCTCCTCTGAAGAGCCTAAAGCTTAAAGGCATAAGCTTAACCCTGGGCTGCGTGGGAGGAGGTGGTCTGAGAACAACCTCGCACGCCAGTGAGCAGAGGCATCGGAAGTCACGTATGCCCGGCTCCAAACTCAGGGTTCTGCTGTGTTCTGTAACAGCGCCCAGAAGGAGAACTCCCATCAGGGTAGAAATGTAAAGCAAGAACAGCGCTGAGCACTTGGGTGTTACCCAGGGACTGATCCCGCAGTTGCCGTCTCTCCTGAGAGCCCACCTCCCACCTGAACCAGTGCTTTTTTTCTGTTTGGTAAAGCCATACACATCTTATATTGCTTTGGACACACGATTCGTACTTTCTTGCAGGCTTTAGCAGTCTGCTTTCCCTCTTTTTGTGTGGTTTCTTGTTTTACTGAAATCATTTGCAAACAACGTTGAAAGTCTCCGTTATCACCCTGACGGCTTCTGCAGCATCCTCTTGCCTCCCGTGCCCCATTCACAGCTCCCGGAGAGTCTGGCAGGTGTCGTGGGGTCCCAGGATGAGCGGTACCCCAGCCCAGCGTAGCCCAGCATAGCCCAGCCCGTCGTTCGCCTCATCCAGGCCTGGGGATGCAATGTGCTCGTCATCTCTCCACCATTCCTTCCTTGTCTCAAAAGGCCATCGGGGAGTTCATTTTGGTGGACAAAGATGTGAAGATCAAAAAGAAAGGTAAAATCTACAGCCTTAACGAGGGCTACGCCAAGGACTTCGGCCCTGCTGTCACTGAGTACATCCAGAGGAAGAAGTTCCCCCCAGTAAGTGAGGGCCGGGGAGGGTGGGGCAGGGTCTGGGCATGTGGCACCGGGGCCGTTGTGGAGGCAGGGGCGTCCCCCGGAGATGACAGGGATCCTTGGGATCGAGGACCTTGGACCTCATGTGGGGCTCCTGGGCGGTGTGGAAATCTGTTGGTTGATGACGTACCTTAAAGGTGAAAGGAAGCAGGGATGGAGTGGACTGGGCTTCCGTCTACACTGAACCCACGACGAAGGTCTCACCTCAGTACTGGGGACTGGAATTCTCACCCTGTGACATCAAAAGTCAGTCTCCATTTCAGCCTTTGCTGCTTTCTCTCGGCAGAAGAAAATTAGGATAATAAAGTTAACCAAATGAATGAATTCAGGGCAGTAAAACAGCTTCCCTTCTGGGGTCCATGGTCCCGGATGGTATGAAATGTGGTTCCCCCCCTCAAATGCCCACCAAGGGGTATCTGCCCCCGCTAGGCCGGCCCGAGGCACATCTATCCGTCATCTCGAGACCGAGAGCTCATCATGGCATCTCCCTAAAGAGGTTACAAGCTAGTGAATACGAAGAGAAGAAATGGCTGTGTGTGGCGCTTGCTCTATGTCGAATATCTGATTTTGTTCTTTCTTTGTTTAAAAGCCATTGGTGGCTGTTGTTTGCTAGAGATGAAGCTCAAATGTTTGCAGAGCGTTCAAGGAGCCTCAGATCTGCTCCAGGCTCTCTCTCCAGCTTACTCATCTCTCCTTTCACCTTACCCTGGATTCCTCTCCTGCCCCCAACCTCCGCACAGGCACACCGGAGTCCCACAGGCCCCTCCTCCAGGCCCGTTTCCCTCTCTACATTGCTAAGAAGATGCTCGTGCAGTTTCCTCTCCTGTAAATTACACGCTGTCTCCCACCTCTGCCCAGTTCCTTAGCTTGGTAACAAACTTCCTCAGCCTTTGAGGTGTTACTAAATGGCACAGTTTTTGTAATGCCTGCCTCAGCCCCATAGCCAGAACCAACCAGACCCTCGCTGGGGCTTCGGTGGGAATCTGACCTACTGGGAGATGGTGAGACGCTGTCTCTGTTTTTCCATTTTCTGTGTCTCCATTTTTCCATTTTCCATTTATTGGAAACAGGATTCTAATCCATTTTTTAGCACAGCCCCAAGTACATACCTTGTAGGTGCTTGGTGAATGGATGTGGAATCAAAGAAACTCAGGGACACAAAGAAAACTCTGTCTTATTTGCTGCAGCCCTAATTCTTGCTGGTCTTAACTTGCAGGATAATTCAGCCCCCTATGGAGCCCGGTACGTGGGCTCCATGGTGGCCGATGTTCACCGCACTCTGGTCTACGGAGGGATATTTCTGTACCCCGCTAACAAGAAGAGCCCCAGCGGAAAGGTAAAGGTGTCCTCTGGAGTGGGAGTGAGGAGCAGATTGCACTTGCAGCCCACATGATTTGGTTTAGGAAGAAGAGAGTTTTGCGAGCTGTTACGCTCCATGCTACGTTGCTACATGTGTCTGTGGCATATTCTTTTGTGGATTAAAGGTAAAGCCAGATGATATCAACTAAAGATAAAAATAGTCTCTTGAGAGCCCTTCCAGTGCTATGGCAAAAGAGAATGAATCTCTTTTGAGATCAGACGAGAATGAATCCTCGTCCTGATGAGGACTGAAGGGCTTCCAGTGGATACATGGCTTGGCTCAGGCAAAGTGAATTCCATTCATAAAGTGAAATGAAAAAACCCAGCCTCACTTCCAAGGCAGCGGATCAAATATGTATCCCCAGCAGAAGGTGTAAAAGGTGTGAAACAGGTCACTAGTGAGTCAGCATCCGCTACGGGGAAAATGATACCTTTTAGGGAAACAATCTCTGGGAAGCCTAGAGCTTCCCGGTGAGCCGTCACCACCAACTCACTAGTCCAAGCCCACGGCGTTCCCAGCAGGCTGCGGGGTGGCTGTGCTCCCCGTGCTCACTCAGAGCCTCCTGCTTTCCTTGTGCTCTCCGTGCGCCCTCAGAGCCTCCTGCTTTCCTTGTGCCAGGGTGATAGTGTGCTTCCTTCCCAAGTATTGTGTCCTTCCTATGTTTTCCCAGTGGACAGATGGCTTTTTAGACAGAGTCTTAGTCGTCACCCAGGCTGGAGTACAGTGGCGTGATCTCGGTCCACTGCAACTTCCGCCTCCTGGGTTCAAGTGATTGTCCTGCCTCAGCGTTCTGAGTAGCTGAGATTACAGGTGCCTGCCACCATGCCCGACTAATTTTTATATTTTTAGTAGAGATGGGGTTTCACCATGTTGGCCAGGCTGGTCCTGAACTTCTGACCTCAAGCGATCCACCCGCCTCGGCCTCCCAAAGTGCTGGGGTTACAGGCGTGAGCCACCACGCATGGCTGCCTTTTTTTTTTTTAATGCAAGAGGAGAACAGGAACAACAGGCCCCTTAAACTAGTTGGAAACCTGTGTATTTGGATGTATTTGGGTCTGTTTGTAGCAGGTGGCATCCAGAATGAAGGCATTTCTATTTACTGGAACCATCATCCAGCCGTAGCTGCCTCGGGCATCTCAACCTGTGTGGTTAGCCTGCTTTCCAGTACTTTTCTCTAAAGTCCCCCCGAATTGCTCCTGAACACAAATACTGAGGCTCCTTTTTTTTGGTTTTTCAAAACTAGCCATGACACCTATGAGGAAATAAGAGTCGGGAAACACCTGCGGAAAGCCGTCGCTCAGTAGGCAGGCGGCATGAAAAGGCAAACGATAAAAAAGTTAATATTTAAAAGTCAATGCCAAGACGTATAATACCCCGAATTCCAACCCAAAAGCCTTGGGAGAATCGTAAACGGAATGCACACAGAGCTGCAAACAATATCACAGTGTTTGGAGGGGCCGGTCTGCTCTCCAGATGTCTGTGGCCAGACACCACCGTGGATTTTTTCAGTGCTTTTAGAGTAGGCGAAGCTCCATCCAACACACACAGAATCACTCATTAAGTCCCGTTTCCATGCTATAAAGAGAAGGTAATGATCACTTCTGCCAAACTGTCGTTCTGTCCAGTATGCAGGTGGTCTGTCTCACATGTGCATCAGGTAGTCTGTTCCTGGCACTGGCTTGATGAATGGTTGAATTTAACCACATGGTTAATGTTTTGTCTCAGATGCAACCTGGGGTGGGAGGAAACTTGTACAGCCTCACAGGAAGGAAAAATACAGTATTCGTTCCCTTGGAAACTCCCACCAGCTCTGCACGTTTTGCTGCAGAAGAGTCTCTTTTTCATGCAATACTTTCTGACACGAGGAGGCCGCTCCCGGTCTTGTTTTCCAGCTGCGACTGCTGTACGAATGCAACCCCATGGCCTACGTCATGGAGAAGGCCGGGGGAATGGCCACCACCGGGAAGGAGGCCGTGCTGGACGTCGTTCCCACAGACATTCACCAGAGGGCGCCGGTGATCTTGGGGTCCCCCGACGACGTGCTCGAGTTCCTGGAGGTGTCTAAGCGGCACTCTGCCCAGTGAGCACCTGCCCTGCCTGCGTCCGGGAGAACTGCCTCCGCCTGGACCTGTTGCCGCACACGGCAGCGCCCCCACCGGCCGTGCCCCACACGGCAGCGCCCGACCCGCTGTGTCCCACACGGCAGCGCCCCCACCGGCCGTGGTCCCGGGCCGTGCCCACACGGCAGCCGCTGGCGCGAATCCCCGCTGCTGTCCCCGCACACGGGCGCAGGCGGCCCCCACGGGCGCGTCGTCCCACGACCGGCAGCGCCCCAGCCGCCGTCCGCAGTGTGGCCCCACACGGCAGCGCGCGAACCCGCTGTGCTCCACAGGGGCAGCGGCCCACCGGGCCCGTGTGCCCCACGACGGGGCAGCGCCGCCGCCAGCCGGGCCGTGCGCCCACACGGGCGGCAGCGCCCGCCCAACCGGCCGTGCCCACGACGGCAGCGCGTGGCGTGCGCCGATCCGCTTTGTGTTCCAGCGACCGCGGGCAGCGCCCCAGCCGGCCGTGTGCG